GCACAGTTGTGCTCTGGGTAGGTCTGATGCAAGTTCACCAATGCCCAGGTGTAGACAAAGCTGTACAGGCACTGCAGTCCTCAATTTACAACAGGTCGTTTAGTGACTGAAGTTAGAAACGGCACTGAAAAAAATTGACCACTGAGTGTTTTCCAGACTTACGACCATTGCAGGGTCATGTGATCAAAAAATCAGGTGCTTGGCAAACTGACTCGTATTTATGACCATTGCAGTGTCCCAGAGCCGTGCGACTTTAGTGACCTTCTAAAGACAGATTCACTTAACCACCTTACTAACTTAACGGCTGCAGGGATTCACTTAACAACTGGGGCAAGACAGGTCGTGAAATGGGGCAAAAGACACTGAGCAAATGTCTCGCTTTGCAGCAGAAATGTTGGGCTCCGTTGCCATCGTAAGTCGAGGACTACCTGTGTTTCCTGCTGGATTGCTTAATGCATAATAAATAAAATAAATTGGTGTAATAAATCAATAGAATCTATCAATAGGGTTGCTAGGAACCAAAACAGCTTCGATGGCACAAAATGGAAGTGTCAGATGTGTATGCCTGGATTTCTAGTGTTCTTCAAATGCTGCAAGCTGCATTGCTAGAGCATTTTTTAGTCATTTCTTTTTTTTTAAAGACATTTGTCAGATTTAGAGGGGTGCATAAATGTACTTTGTGCAAAATGCACAGAGCAGATTCAGCAATCTACTGGTTCAGATTGGTACTCCCTCTTTGAAGGAGATTGGTTAATTGGTTAATTGTCCTCACCGTTAGGAAGTCTCTGCTTATTTCTAGGTCTCCTTGATGAGTTTCCATCCATTGCTTCTTGTCCTGCCTTCAAGTCCTTTGGAGAATAGGTTGTCCCATTCTTCTTTGGGGCAGCACCTCAACTATTGGAAGACTGCTATCCTGTCCAGCCTAGTTCTTCTTTTTTCTAGACTAGCCAAACCCAAATCCTGCAGCCGTTCTTCATATGTTTTAGTCTCCAGGTCTTTGATCATCTTAGTTGCTCTTAGAAAGTTTGCACACTGTGTTTGTGGAATATTTTTTGGCCTGTGGAGGAAGCAAGCATCCTGTTCCACACTAGCTTAAGAGTTGAAAATAATTGCCAAGGACCAGTTTTGGCCGCCGCAATGTAAAAAAGATATTGAGATTCTAGAAAGAATGCGGGGAAGAGCAACCAAGATGATAAGGAGTCTAGAGGCTAAAACATATGAAGAACGGTTGCAGGAACTGATTATATCTAGTTTAATGAAAGGAAGGACTAGGGGTAACATGATAGGAGTCTTCTAATATCTCAAGGGTTGCCACAAAGAAGAGGGAGTCAAGCTATTTTTCAAAGCAACTGAAGGCAGCACAAGAAGCAACAGATCGAAATAACCAAGGAGAAAAGTAACCTAGAACTAAGGAGAAATTTCCTGACAGTGAGAACAATAAAACAATGGAATTACTTGCCTCCAAAAGTTGTGGGTGTTCCATCACTGGAGCTTTTAAGAAGAGATTTGACAGCCACTTGTCTGAAATGATGTAGGGTCTCCGGATTGAGCAGAGGTTTGGAATAGAAGACCTCCAAGGTCCCTTTTAACTCTGTTATTCTGTATCTCTACTTTATGATATTCTGTGTTGTCTTTCTGTTCTAGAAGCCACATCTGCTTTGGGATGAAATCTCCTGAAGAAATGAGGCAACAGGCTCACCTCCAGGTGGTTAGTAAAAATTTATACAGCCAAGATAACCACTCTCCTCTTCAATATGGCGTATTGGACCATCGCATGGTAAGCCTTCTAGGTGTCAATGCCTCTTTTTTCTTTCCCTACCCTTCCTCACTTTTCTTTGCCTTTTCCCCTTCCCTCTCCCTATCCTCTTACTTGCTTTTGTATTTTGTATTTTATAATACTTTATAGCCCAATAAAAACATATTCAAAGGTAAGCCTTCTAGATGCTCAGTCTGATTTAGGCATGTCAGCAGTGATGTTGAAGGAGTAAATATCTGAAGAGTTTCAGAATAAACAATTGTAAACTAAAACCTAGGAATTATTCAGCTGATTGGAACTGAGAAATCAATATAGCTCATGGTGGCAGCTCTAAGAGAAAGGATATGATTTGTCTCATATATTCCTCTTGAGATTAAAGTATTTCCTGGCCATGCTGAGCCAATCAGTATTTGATGCTTCATTTCACGAATGATATAATATTAAGTTTAGTTTCTTTATTGGTTGTTCCTGTGCAAGCTCACATCATGTATATCTACAGACCCCTCACATCCTGGACATAAATTGTTTCAACTTCTTCTCTCAAGATGACGCTGTAAGGCATTGCACGCCAAAACAACTAGACACATGGACAGTTTTTCCCCCGCATGCCATCACTCTGCTAAACAACTAATTCCCACAACATTGTCTTATGCCCTGGGATGTCAAACAACCTACTGTGTTTTTCCGAAAATAAGACCCAACTAGAAAAGAAGCTCTAGCATGATTGTTCGGGATGCCTGTAATATAAGTCCTACCCTCAAAATAAGCCTCAGTTAAGATTGACAGCCAGAAGGACGCATTTAGTACTGTATTTCCCTGAAAATAAGCCCCAATGTGTCTTGGAGCAAAAATTAATATAGGACCTGGTCTTATTTTGTGGAAACACAGTAGTAGGGCTCTATTACCTAATATCCTTCTCACCTTTTCATCTTTCCTGTTACCTATTTCTTTAGTTTCTTATAACTTGGTTGTTTGTATATTATGATTTATGTTGATTGCCTTTATTTAGTATCCTGTTATGATTTATGTTGTTTGCTTATTTAGTATCCTATGATTATCGTTCAGTGTTGTATGTCATGATTTATGATGACTGTATTTCATGATTATGCTTTATAACTTGTTCCTTATATGTACAGTGAGAGCTTCTGTACTGGAGACAAATTCCTTGTGTGTCCAGTCACACTTGGCTAATAAAGAATTGTATCCTGTTCTATTATATTCATATTCCATTCCTTATTCTGTTCTATTATATTGCTATTCCTATAACAATTGCACTGCCTTCTGGGATTATCGCCATCCTTAAAACATCCTTCAGTTTGGATTTGTGCAAGATTTGCGAATCTGGAAATGGGCTGTTCTGGAGCAAAATGAAATGTTTTCCTCCAGACCCAGGTTTTCAGGAGAATAGTTTAAGCACTTGTCGGAAATAAATTCTTTGTGCTGTGAGTAACTTGAGGTATTCTAGAAATACTGTGTTTCCCCCCAAAAATCACCTAACTGGAAAATAAGTCCTAGCATGATTTTTCAGGATACTTGTAATATAAGCCCTACCCCGCAAAATAAGCCCCAGCTAGGATTGTCAGCCAGATGGGTGCATTTAGTACTGTATTTCCCTGAAAATAAGACCTAGCCAGAAAATAAGCCCTAATGCATCTTTTGGAGCAAAAATTAATATAAGATCCAGTCTTATTTTCGGGGAAACACGGTACTGTTGTTTTTTTGTTTTGTTTTTTTTTAGATATCTCCACCTCAGGCCATGCAAAGATTGCAGAGCGGTCATGTATCTTATTTCTGTTTCTGAAATTTTTTGGTTAATTGGAGTGAAAAAGACTGATTCATCAAATAGTACCTTGACAAATGTTCATCTTTTTATTTTTTTATTCAAGGGTACAAGTGAAAAGGATCGTCCCTGCAAAACCTGTGGAAAAAATCTGGCAGAATGCTTGGGGCATTATGGCTACATTGACCTGGAGTTACCTTGTTTTCACGTGGGATACTTCAAAGCTGTGATAGGCATTCTCCAGGTAAAATCAAGTCAAAAGCTGTAGCAGAAGCAGCTTTTGTTGGAACTGCTGTCAAGCTGCACAGGAGCTTGCATTCAGTTTGGGAAAAAGGTATATCATCTTGTGCAGGAAGGCAGGTGTCTATCTGCCTCATTAAAGCAGCTGCATCCATTCCGCAATTGCATAGTTAGAGCAGAAACGACTTCCTAGAACTCTACACTTCTGAAAAGTGATTCAGTAACTTTAATGAGGGGTGTTTAGGGTGCGTTTACACTCTTGTATTTGCCGAGTATATCCGAACTGTGATCCAGCTGTAATATATGGTTTTAATTAGAGGAGAAATGATCCTGCTCAGAAAAATGGTGCAGAAATGTGATGTCTGGCCGTCCATCCATCCATCTCTATCACTCTTGTCTTCCTGTCTATCTTATCTATGTATCTATATCTATCTAATTTATCATATATCTATCACCTATCTATCAGTCTCTGTCTCTATATATCTATATGTATCTATCTAATCAATCTACACCTATCTACCTACCTATCTCTATCTATCTATCTGTATATATCTATATCTAATTTATCATATATCTACCACATTTATCTATCAGTCTCTGTTCTATATATATGTATCTAATCAATCTATATCTACCAACCTACCTACCTATCTATATCATCTACCTATCATCTATCTATCTATCTATCCATCCATCCATCCATCCATCCATCCATCCATCCATCCATCTATCCATTCATCCATCTAGCCATCTCTGTCTATTGTCTGCCTGTCCAGTCTGTCTGTCTGTGTTTCTTGCCTGCCTGCCCATCCGTCCACCCAACTGCATCATGTCGGTGAAAGTTTTACATTAAATAAAATTATTTTGCAAATTGTGAATACTCACTAAGATTAATTAAATCTTCAGGAAGCCTAGAGTCTTCTCCAAATATGTGTAGGATTTAGAAATAAGGTGCGGGTTTTTTTTTAGAACTTTTGCTGTTTTCTGAGAAAATGAATGGCAAAGGATCTTTTGAACAAAGTTTTAGGTGTGTTTTTATTGTGGGACAAGAGGTTAATTGTTTCTTTTGCTGTAGGAAAGCCAAATTTGAAGATTTTTTTTTCCTCCTCCTTTAGATGATTTGCAAGACGTGTTGCCGTATCTTACTAAACACCGAGGAACAGAAACAATTTTTGGATTATCTGAAGAGACCTGGTTTGACCTATCTCCAGAAAAGAGGCTTGAAGAAAAAGGTCTCCGAAAAATGTAGGAAGAAGAACACTTGCCCCCATTGTGGTGCTTTCAATGGTAAGTGTTTGGTTCTCAACCCTCTTCTGCATCTTGACAAGTCGGTTGGAATTCACATGTGGAGTTCAGCAGATAGTAATAGCCCCTTACACTTCACGGTGCTCTACAGCCCTCTCTAAGCGGTTCAAAGAGTCAGCCTCTTGCCCCCAACAATCTGGGTCCTCGTTTTACCCACCTGGGAAGGATGGAAGGCTGAGTCAACCTTGAGCCAATCAGGATCGAACTGCTGGCAGGCAGCAGAATTAGCCAGCATTCTAACTACTGCACCACTGCTGTGCCTAAATAGGAAAATAATCGGAAACTAATGGACATTGCTTTGTTTCTACTTCAGTAGTAATAGCTGTATGTAGACTTACATTCAGCTTTACTGACCTCTCCAAGCGGTTTTACAGTCAGTCTCTTGCCCCCAACCATCTGGGTCCTCATTTTACTGACCTCAGAAGTATGGAAGGCTGAGTCAATAAGAATAGCAATAGCACTTTGACATATATATGGTGGCACAGTGGTTATAGTTCAGTACTGCAGGCTACTTCTGCTGACCAGCAATTTGGCAGTTTGAATCTCACCAGGCTCAAGGTTGACTCAGCCTTCCAACCTTCCGAGGTGAGTAAAATGAGGACCCAGTTTAATGGGGGCAGCAGACTGGCTCTGTAAACTACTTAGAGAGGGCTGTAAAGCCCTGTGAATCGGTATATAAGGGCTACAGCCCTAAGCGGTGTACAGAGTCAGCCTATTGTCCCCAACAATCTTGAGTCCTCATTTTACCCACCTCGGAAGAACAGAAGGCTGAATCAACTTCAGCTGCTGAGAATTGAACTGCTGGCAGTCGGCAGAGTCAGCCTGCAGTAGTGCATTCTAACCACTGCATCATCACGGTTCTTTAACCTTTTTCCGGGGAAAGTTGTCAGAAGTGGTTTGCCGTTGTCTTCTTCCTAAGGCAGAGAGAAAATGACTGGCCCCCTAGTCACCTGGTTGGCTTCCCCAGTTTCTAGCCAGGGTCTTTAGCCACATTACCAGATAGGCTGTCTATCACAGTAACAGTCGTCTTGAATATTAGCGTCCCTAATAAAAATCAACTGGAACTAAATGCACTCATCCTTCACAGTTTGGAAATCATAATTATTTGCATCATCATTATACATTTTGGGTGGTATTCTTAGAATTAGAATTAGAATTAAGATTAGGATTAGAATTAGAATAGAATAGAATAGAATAGAATAGAATAGAATAGAATAGAACAGAATATTCTTTATTGGCTAAGTGTGATTAGTCACACAAGAAATTTGGTGCATAAACTCTTGGTGTACATAAAGAAAAAATACATCCATCAAGAATACAATACTCAGTGATAGTCATAGGTTACTAATAAGCAATCAAATCATACCAGGAAACGTATAAAACAAAATAAATTGTAAAGAGACAGGCAACATGGTTATAGTCATAAGTGGGAAGAGGTAGGTAATAGGAAGGATGAGAAGAAGAATAGTAATACACTTTTAGTAAATTGACAGTGTTATGAGAATTAGTTGTTTAGTAGAGTGATCTTACGGCAGAAGACTCTTTCATTGCTTTTTGTGCTAAGTGGCAAACTCGGTTAAAGAGCGGATTAATACGTAACCTTTGTTTGGAACCTTGTTACCTTGTAGGCACCGTAAAGAAGTGTGGGTTGCTAAAGATCATCCATGAGAAGTATAAGACCACCAAAAAGATTGTGGACCCCCTGGTGTCTGATTTCATTCAGTCCTTCGACACTGCAATAGAACACAACAAAGAGATCGAGTCTTTACTGGGAAAAGCCCAGGTGAGTTTAAAAAGTATCAAACCATAGGTTCAAGGTAAAGGTTCCCTTGCATATTCGTGTTACTCATTTCTGGTTCTAGGGAGTGGTGCTCATCTCCGTTACAAAGCCGAAGAGCCAGCGCTGTCCGAAGACGTCTCCATGGTCATGTGGCCGGCATGACTAAACGCCTTCGAAGGTGCACAGAACACGGTTCCCTTCCTAGCAAAGGGGTCCCTATTTTTCTATTCTCATTTTTTTAATGTGCTTTCAAACGGCTAGGTTGGCAGAAACTGGGACAAGGAACGGCAGCTCATTCTGTTATGTGGCGCTAGGGATTCGAACCGACGAACTGCTGACCTTTCTGATCGACAAGCTCAGCGTCTTAGCCACTGAGCCACTGTGTCCATAGGTTAAACCATACGTTAGCCTGGGGTTTGTTTGTTTTTTGGCAATAATCCAGGTTTCTGTTGGAGTGGAACTACTATGGATGTTTGTGTATCTGTGCCCGGACTTGTATTATAGCATCACAGGGAGAGCAAATTAGCTTAAACGTTGTTGTAGGATTAGCAGAAGATAAGTAGTCCTCAAGTTACAACCACGATTGACCTGGAAATGATTCCATTCCACTATTTGCTCAGTATTAGGGTAATTCTTGTCCTGCAGCGAGTTGGCCGCGGTGAGTTGGCCATGGTGAATTGGCCATGGTAAGTTGGCCGTAGTAAATTGCCGGTGGCAAGTTGGCTGCACAAAGTTAGCCCTGGAGAGTTGGCCATGGTGAATTAGCCGCGGTGAGTTGGCCGTGGCGAGTTTTTGTAGTCCCCATGTAGGGCGATTTGGTAAAAAGGTGACTGTCGTTTTGGCTCTTACAGGAGAACCTGAACCCCTTAATGGTGTTGAACATCTTGAAGAGAATTCCTGCAGAAGACATCCCTCTTCTTCTGATGAACCCAGAATCGGGGAAGCCTTCAGACTTGATCCTGACCCGCCTTTTGGTTCCACCACTCTGCATTCGGCCTTCTGTGATCAGCGACTTGAAATCCGGCACCAACGAGGATGATCTAACAATGAAGTTGACAGAAATCATTTTCCTTAACGATGTGATCAAAAAGGTAGCTTCTTGTTTTGTTTCTTGCAGCTACAGAGGAAGGAAGGAATGAAGGGAAGAAGGGAGGAAAGAAAGAAAGAAATGAAGGAAGGAAGGAAAAGAAGGAAGGAAGGAAGGAAGAAAAGGAAGAGAGAGAGAGAGAGAGAGGGAAGAAGTGAAAAGTTTTTCCCTTCATTTTTTTTGTTGTTTTTATTTATGGTACCTTTGTTCCCCCTTTTCAATTTGGAAAAAGTGAAATCAACTCCATGTTGTTTCTTTTTTTTAATGATAAAGAAAATTGGTCATATATTACAATACATGTTCTTACCCTCCCCTCTCGCTTTAGAATATAATTTGTAAAAACTGGAATAGGAAGCCTTTTATTTAAGGCTGTTTACAGTGAATATCAGGTCCTTCCACTTGCTGTACATAAATGTGGCCACTGTAGAGTGAAACTGGTTATAGGCAGTTTAACCTCATCTATTTTACTGTTTCAGGTGAAGCTAAATTATTGAATTTACATGGGGCAAAATACTGAGCAATCCAAACAAAAGGCCATCAATATATTATTGTTTATTTTTATTTTATATGTTTTGTTTTACCAATTTCTGTTGTTAAATATAAAGAATAGAAAGAGCTACATGAACAAAATGAACTGACTGACATGTAGCATTCCTTATATTCCCAATCGACCATGTTTAACATAGCTTGGACAAGGAGCCCCAAATTAGCATGAAAGACAGTATAATATTTGCAGAAGATGTCTCAAGATCTTCTCTTCTCTTCTCTTCTCTTCTCTTCTCTTCTCTTCTCTTCTC